CCCAGTGGGGCGCCCTCACGCCACGCATCCTCCCACTCGGCCCCTCGGAGCCCCCACTGTCGACCAGTGGAGCGACACGGGTCCGCGGCGCCCCGCGGCGGGCCCGCTAAGGCGCCACTGCGGGACGCATAGCGGCCCCCCCCCCTCTGCAAGACCGTACTCGTCCCCGTAAAACGCTCGGGCTCTCCTATGCGCGCGTCGTCTACTGTTACTTGCCCTATGCCTATCCCGCCACTGTGCTATAGCATGGCGTAGCACAGCATGGGTCCCCCAAAAGTGGGGACCCCTATGTGCGCGTTGTCTTTTACTGTTACTTGCCCTAGACCTGTCCCGCCACTGTGCTATAGCATGGCATAGCACAGCATGGGCCCCCAAAAAGTGGGGACCCCTTTGTGCGCGTTGTCTGGTACTGTTACTTGCCCCGGGCCTACACCGCCACTGTGCTGTGGCATGGCATAGCACAGCATGGGTCTTCAAAAAATTGAAACCTCTATGTGCGGGTCGTCTTTCACTGTTACTTGCCCTAGGCCTATTCCGGCACTGTGCTATAGCATGGCATAGCAAAGCATGTGTCCCCAAAAAAGGGGAGCCCTATGTGCGCGTCGTCTCTTCACTGTTACTTGCCCTAGGCCTATCCCGTCACTGTGATACAGCATGGCATAGCACAGCATGGGTCCCCAAAAAGAGGTATTCGCCGATGCAGCCTTTTCGGATCGAGAGTTCGGGTGTCCCAGGTGGGCAGAGATTCTCGTTCTATAGAGCGTTCCGAGGATCGTTCTCACTGACTGCGAATGTCCCAGCCCGCGAATCCCATGCCGCGCTGGCATCCCATGGCGAACGTTGACTCGTCCGCTATGCTCATCGCGTTCATCACCTGGTACCGGCGGCAGAGCCCCCTGGGTCGCAGATTCTATGCCATGGGCACGCACCTGATCATGACGCAGGTCTGGCATGGAGCCATTGGCTCGGTCACAGACTCCGAATGGGTCGAGGATCACTATATTCCTCTTCAGCACGTGCTTTGTGATGGTATACTTTGCAGGCGTTGCCGATCTCATGGGGGGCAATACTATTCTCCCAAATGGTTACATCTTTCGCTGGTTCAGCACTCTGTGGGAGTCGCTGTACATGAGCCTCAGGAACCCACTCCTGAACTCGCGGGTTCCAGTGGATGGGTTTCTGTGCGATGATCCTGCCGCGGGCGCCGACCATCGTGGCGGCGTTGCGCGGGACCAGAGTGGGCATTGCCTGGTTCCGCGTAACAGGTGGGCCCACACCGCCGCTATCATGGGCATCGAGCCACCTGATGGATTGGACTATGCTCTGGACCTCACGTTGGACATTGCATTGGACCATGCCTTGAATCGCGCCACGAACTACGCGTTGGAAGTAGCCGTGGATCCTCTCTTTGAAGAGGCGGACGCTGGCGACCCGCAGGCCTGATCCGTCCAGCGGATGAGCAGTCAGGGCTGTTTCAAAGATTCCACTTGGTCTCATTTTCCTGCCGCGCAGTTCCGCTTGCGTGTGTCGCAGAGAAGGTGCTGCTTCTATGCCTCGCCTTCGTGTTCGTGGTTGTACTTTCACGAGTCACGTAACGTGGCAGGGTATTGCAGGACAGACTTATCCCTACCAAGCGGGGCCTGCGTATCCCTGATCGTAAGTGTCAGGGTCGCGATCTGCGCGTGCTGGGACCTTCTCTTTGCGCGGGCATGTATTCGCGTGGCCTGGGAACTATGGAAACAAAAAATGGCCCCAGACTCTGTACTGAAGCGTGTCTTAACCATCCAGTTTGTTCTGAGTGTCCCGACTGAACTTGCCACACTGTGCCTATCAAGTCGCACTGTTCGTTATGCATTGGGTTGTATTTCGGGGTTTCTTCTACGACTGGATTCGGGCCACCAACCAGGGACGCCATCCCGCCACCGCGCTATAGCACGGCATAGCACCGCATGGGCCCCCACAAAGTGGGGACCCCGATGCGCGCGTTGCCTTTTACCTCTACTTGCCCCGTGCCTTTCCCGCCACCGCGCTATGGCATGGCATAGCTCGGCATGTGTTCCCCAAAAGGTGGGGGCTCCTATGTGCGCGTTGTCTTTTACTCCTTCCTATCCCAGGCCTATCCCGCCACCGGACTATAGCATGGCATAGCACATCATGGGCCCCCAAAAGTAGGCCCCCCCCGCCGGACCCGACCCGCCCCGTCCGTTGGGGCCCGCCTGCCCGACTCGCCCCGCCCGTTAGAGCACTCGCGTGCCCACTCGATCGCACATCCGTCGTCGCCGTCGTCGTCGTCGTCGTCGTCGACGCTGTATTCGATGCTGTTCTCACTAGGGGAGAGATGATATTTATGGTGGGGTGGCTTGCGGGTAGGAGCGACGGCCACCGCGGGTGGGTTCGCGGTCAAGGTGTAATCGTGGCCAAGCCTGGTAGACCCAAAATTCTTAATCCTATAATTATTAAACCCTAAATAACCTAAAAGCGGTCACCATACAACCCGGCT